CATCTTTCTCTCTCTCGTTAGCTTTACCACGTTGGCCTTATTATGATCACAGTGATCACAGAGGGGCTTGTAATGCCATATTACCATCGTCAGATTAATTTAGAACAGAGAAATGTCCATAGAGAAATATGGTACAGCAGGTTGAAGGCTGATTGAGAGCAAGATGGCTGATGGTTTTGAGAGAAGTGAGAGAGTGAGTGCTTCTCGTGAACACACACACACACACACACACACACAGACTAAATTGAAAGACAGGAGTCTGTGTACAGAGTTAATAAAAGAAGCTCTGGGAACAAACTAAAATGAGCATTAGGGAGACCGCTGCAGAGTTTACTCTCCCGGACTAAGAATGCCACAAATGAACGTCAATATGGTTTCTTTGTCTCTCGCCCTCTCTTTTATTGCCCTTGTCTTTTGCTCTCTGCCCTTCTGTTCTATCTCTCCTTCTCTTTCTCTGTCTCCGCTCCACTGAGCACACTACAGTGGCAGGGCCCATCTTTGTCAGGAGCAGCGAGACAAAACGCCAGCAAAATAATAGAGGGGACTTGTAAATTCCCCACAGACACTTTTTATAGTTCCTTTCCACTTGCTCTGCTGCCTGTCAAACCAGACAATGCCTTCACTAACAGGCATGTATTTGATGTGGTGACAAGTGGTGACAAGAAAGTTAAAGGCCCAATCTGGAATTATAGGAAACCAAAAGCTGTGGTGTGGTTTTCAGTTCATTAGTGGTTAGTACATTAGGTAATCGATTTGTTAGCTTGATTGATAGTTTGTTTAAAATGGTTTTAATAATGTAATTGATTAACGTAGTTCTCGGCTCTATCATCTCTCTGCCTTTTAGTGTCTTTCATCTTTTAATTATTTGGCCCACAACTTTAATGTTTTTATTTGCTCTTACCGCTCTGTTTCAGCTGTTTTAGCAAAAAGCTCTGATAAACTGTACGCTACATGTTCAGCACTAAACTCTGGCAGACAGATCAACTAAGTTATCCTTAATTGGGGCTTTAAAATGGTAGATCATTGTAAAGCTATGATCAAATAAAAGTAGTAGCGAATTCTAACTTCTAACTACTTTTCTGGAGGTGGACCTAAGACTAAAAGACATCTTTAAGAAAAGGTGTTAGCATGTGTGCCATGACAGCTTGATTCAGCCATCAACAAAATACCATCTGCTACGTTGCTTGAGTCAAATCAAACAAAGTGAGAATGGAAAGTCTTCTTCTTGCCACCGTGGCTGGAAAGAACGGGATAGAGTACACTCAATTCTGCCCAGTGCTGCTCCTGTGGTGTTGTTTCAAAATATAAGGAGATATACTACCTAAAAAGCATTCTGATTGAGTGATTCTACAATCATAAAATTAAAAACATGCTGTAGATAAACTGTGAAGTGAAGTAAGCATTTTGCACCCTACATGAGTTTCCTTTTACCACACTAGGTGATGCTGAGCGAAAGTGATACTGACGTGAAATCTGAGAATGTAGCCAAAATAAATTATACATTTTCCCTACACTGTCTAAATAATTGATCAGTTATTCATCAAACTGACACTCAAGGATGGCAGATAATTTGCCCCAAGTTTCACAACTAATTAACGCCTCTCTCTTTCTCTCTGAAGGCAGTATTAGTTTATTAGCCTTTCTTTAAGTCTTTGGAAATTGCTGGCAAACGGTCTTAAAGAAGCCAACAAAGTGTGCAAGCGTGGGTGTGTGTACCTACTACGGAACAGTACATGTGGGCGAACAAGTACACAATTGCACTCACACGCAAAGTCAGATCCAAATGCATCTACAATCATATCTCTGCATGCAAGAATTGTGACCGTGTGTGGGTTGGTTGGTGCAAGCATGAGCGCAGGCATCTAAAAACAACCTCACCTCATTGGAAAGTGATTTTCATGCTGTTCAGTCAAAATGCTAAAACTGGGGAGTGTGTGGGAAGCTCTTAGTTTGACCCCCATCATAGTCAGTCTTTATATCTCGGCATCTGACTGCGTATACAGGTTGGTTTCAACCCTCCAGGTGGGAACAGAGTGGGTGATGGCAGGTCAAGTCCCTGCTCTCCTCATCAGTTAGAACGAGCCTGAGACTCCTATGGCTGCGGCTGATTGATCCTGTGTGTGCGTACGAAAGGAAATAGCAAGAACTTGAGAGAGCAGAGAGAACTGGCATGGATTAGGGAAAAAAGCGAGTCGTAAATAAACTTGTCAGAGAGAAGAACAGAGACTGACAATGAAGAAAAAACACTCATAAAGAGAATGCGTAATAGAGAAGCTGGAGAGAACTTTACCGTGATAGCGGATTTCTGTGAATATTGATGTTTTGTTTTTTTTACTCCCACACAAACTGATCTCTCTCCCTCTGCTTTAAAGAACAAATAAATCTGAGATTGAAAGAGAGCAAGGCCAAACGTGGGGTGTGGGGGGAGTTTAGTGGGGAATTAAGTACAGCTAAAGCATACAGGTTGTTGTTCTCACAGGGGAAATTCCTTTGGTGCTCCAGTCTTTTCACTGAGGCAACAGGCTAGTGACTTTGAACCACTCTGTGCTCCACAAAAGAAAAATAGGGCCCCTCTATTCTTATGTTGGCAACCCGGACCCTAATTCTTCACTAGCCTCCCCCAACTCTACTCACACACACATTATTTCTTGACCATTTCTCACTGAATAGATTACATATGGATGGAAGTCCTTCCTCTAATTGGTCGGTCTGTGTAGCCGCCCAACCACTGCGACACAGCATGCATGTGAGCAACAGCATGACATAAATACTGACCACCACATCTAACGGGACACCACTAATTGTGGGGTGTCCATAATACTTAAGTTCTTGTTGTGATTTGTGGTGGGTGACATATTTTTTTAGCCTGCTAACTTCAGCAGTCGCTTGTAATGGGTGGCATAGTTTCTAGACTTGATTTACTTTTACAGTCTGGAAAAACTGCTGAAAAGCAGGTCACACTCTGAGAAACGGAAACTCAGCCTTCCAAAAATGTTCGATGACAAGAAAAATGAACAGATGCAAATTCTATTACGTTTTCATGCAATCAAATTTAGCTATCCTTAGAGTGGATGAAAAGTATGTCACTCAGTGTCTTGTGTGTTTTTGTCTTTTAGGCCATTTTGCCGGAGAGTCAGCCAAACCCGCCTCAGGGAGCTGGAGAATGGAGAACAACATGTGACCGATCCGTGCGCCACTGTCGACAGCATGCTTCGTCTCCTCCAGACCTTGGCTTTCTGCTTCTGGTGTTTTTTGCTACTTCACAGGCAGGCTGTGGCCGATGAAGAGGGCCTCTGGGGGCCGACACCATCAAGAGAAAACCCACCTGAAAATAAACAAAGCTCTTCCTGGTGGCCAAATATCAATTTCCTCCCTTCAATACGGAACCATATCCCCTTTTTTGGGAGCTCAGACAGTAACGACGAGGCTCCTGCACTGACCACAACCGCCAAATGGCTGACAGAGCCAATTGATCACTCGGGTTCAGGGGAAGGGAGCATTTCTGAAGCCTCTGAACAACCCACCACTTTGACTCAGGGGCTTCTAACCAGCGTGACAAAGATAGGAACAGAATCACTTCCCACGGGGACATCAGATTCTCCACACAGCAGCATAGCACAGACCCACAATGATACTCTTGTTTCAGGCGCCTACTCTCCCACAAGCAGTTTTATCAGAAACACTCTGTTCACCAACAGTCCCACCAGCACAAGCGCTGAACAAAATGCAACACATACCCACCCACCACGGGGCACTGCACGAGCAGCCAGACCCAGCATGGGCGCTACTCCACAACACCTCCCAGAGGAACTCACTGATAAAGAGGAGGCTGAAAAGATCTCTTCGACGATAGCACCAGAAACTACAGTTCCCACTGCCTTGACATGGGCAGCAGCCCATACCACAACAACAATCCCAGGACTGGTAGAGACCACACTGACCAGTAGCCATCCTGTGAGGCCTGTTACGTCCCCCTCTACGTCCACAGAAACGTTTGTCAGAAAACCACAAGACTCCACTATTACGCTTCATGCTGAGTTGGCCACAATGTCAGAAACTCACCCCACTGAGAGTGAGGCTGACCTGGGCTTCTCCAAAGCCAGGTCAGGGCTCATGGAGGAACAACCAGGGGTAATCGTCACTGCCATGGGGATCGATTACAAACTAGTGCCGGAATCCATAACAAGCACAACTCAGAGCCAGGGGGTTAACTTACCAAAAGCAGGAGGTAAGCAAAGTTAAATCAATCAATAGTGCTTGGATTGACTCAATAGACGTGATCAATCATGTTCAGGCAGGTCTTAAGAGTTCAACAGATGTCTGTCAAAAGGCTGTAGACAGTTTGGTGTTTCTGACATGGTAAGTAGTCAAAGGTCCAATATTAGCATAAATCCAGATCTTGTCTGGAAACCCTGTCAACAATCAATTACAAGTCTGGAATAAACATTTACATGACTGGAATGTTGAGTTATGAGTTGAGGAATTTCTGTTCACCTTGCTCGGAGAGAGTATGGTTAAGGTTTTTTGATGTAATATGGTATTACTCTGTGGTGGTTTTAATGGGTAGACATGTGCTCAGGCTACTGATCCTGTGGAAAAGTACATTTCAGCAACATGACAGCTTTTAGAAATGGGAGTTGTTCCACAATACAGTAATCAAAGTCATCTACAAAAGAATGAAACATCTTTATTGTGTTTCCAATTCTTGCTTCCCACAGACTTTGAACTATTCAATAAAATTATTCCATGACAGAGAAATCGGAATGGAGAGTAACGCATCAGGATTTGTTGTGCAATCTGTTGTGGATAGTTAAAAAGCTTTTGTTGAGTGATGTGTTGTTGACTGGTACCATCCATACCCTAACTTAATTTTGCATTTCACAATCGCTACCAGAGAGTAATTTGTACCACCCAGTTCCAAAAAATCTTAACTAATCCTCCAACAGTCTATAATGAGTTTTCAAGCAGAAATTCCAGTCCAACATTGCATAAGCCATTACCTCAGTGAGTGGAAGGAAAGAGCATTTGATTGAATGCTGCTCGATGGGGGTTTTGTCCTCCACAGAGCGTGAAAAGGAAAAGGCGACGAGCTAAAACAGCTACTGGTAGCCGGTAGGTTTCAGGAGAATTTGACACGACATTGAGGCAATACCTCCTTCTTCATGGCCCATCCCCCAACACTGGTGGCAGTCTGGTGTCTGTATGCCTAATGAGTCTTCAGAGGAACATCGTCCTCTAGGTACAGACGCATTTATCATGTAGGGTCAAAGGTTGGGCCAGAAAATGATGAGTCGATTACTCTCAGACAGGGACGTTCGGTGTCTATCTGATAAAACCGTGATTGTTTGGTGGATGTATACACACATTAGTGTCTCCAATATTCACTAAGCATGTGTAGAACATAATGATATTCTGCCTGTGCGTAGCAATATGTCCATTAATATCAGCACAAATGCAGTTTTCATTTTGAAATTTAATTACACAAACCATTAGGCAAAAGAATAATAACGCAATGAATCCAATCAACATTAGATGATGTTATATTCATATGATTTTCTTTTTGGTGTGAACAAACATGTGTTTTGCTAACACATTTGTTCATTTAACAATTTCAGATTTCAGATGTTTAAATTTCTGTTTTTCTGAGCACTTTAGGGACGTCTCTTACGATACAAATGCTCAAGTACAGCTACTAAATGGACTTTGGGATGAGATTGTTTTGTCAGCTGTTGTATCCAAGGTCAAAAATTGACCACACTGTTGGTTACTTACAGATAGCAATGTATTCTGCAAGTACATAAACAGTTCCTTCTTGGAAAACAAACCGCTCTTTTACAGTGTTGGAATGCAACTATTCCAGATCCCGTATCTCCTGCACTGCTGTACGCCGCTTGTACTGAAAGTGGTCATGGTATGTTTTGTCTGCAGTCCTGTGTTGTGTCTGCACTTGTTTTCGGTTGTTCATCGTGCGGCGCCATACAGAAAAGATAGGGGGCTTGGCCTGGGTGGGGAGGGCTGCTGTGGCCCTGTATCAGTATTCCAAGCGCACACTCAGCGAAACCACCACCTCTCCTGTGGGACCATCCGCTTGCCAGTCGCTGTTCATGGATGCTGAACATGCTTCTTGCCATTTAGTCTCCTCCCTCCCTGCTCCCCTCCTCCTTTTGCAATGTTTTCCTCTGTACAAAAACCTGCTTCTTTTTTTTTTTTTTTACTGCTTTGAAGGGGGTGAAAATGTCTTAATGGGGATGACAAAAGCTTCTGGTCATCCATGGAGAAAGGAAAGCCAACAGAATATGGTGCTTTTATTTTTATTTTCCTAGTAGTCTGCTCAGTGTAGTATCGCACTGGAGTCTTGCAGTGTTTGAATGATTACACCTTGCCAAAGGACACAGGAGGAGACTAATATTAAAATGAAAGCACGGCACCCTTGCATTATCATACATTATCCCAATGTGAATATTCTATGTGTGTGCTGGAATTTATTTTTAAAGCTGCACGGGGTGAACCATTTCCCTACTGGAGGTGTGGAACATCTTCACCACACAAACCGGTGGATTTTCATTGATCGAGAGAGCATTTGCTGCGTGGCGTTGCCCTTGAGGAGGCTGTCAGGTATTAAAAAAAAAACAGCAATGCTCTGCATCTGTGTCAAATCCTCTACTAAGGGACACTCCAACATCCGGCAGCAAGGGCAATTATGAGAGCAGAGAGTGGAAAAAGGGGGGAAAAAAGCGCTGGGGGTTGAGGCTGATGAGATTCTAAAGCTTCTCAGATAGCCACTGCTGTACATTTTCTTCCAAAAAGCTTTCATTTATCCTGCTCCTTCTTTCCCCTCCTCCCACCTTTTCCATTACTGTATGCTGTAACAGGCAGCGGCAAGACTAGACCCTCAACACACTACATTAATACCAGCTAGATATTGTCCCTGTGATCTGAGCGTTGTACTAAACAGCGAAAGCATAGCCATTGACAGATTAATTGATTATGGAAATAGTTTTACACGCAGAGCATGTGACATGAATACCTGATGCCCTGGTATAGAATTTACATGGAATGGGGGCTTAAATGCAAATAGAGAACACTGTGGTGACTTTAATATTATGTTAATCTCTTCATAATGACTTCTTTAACCAGACAGTCCATGAGTTTTACAAAACTGGATGGATTAGGCCTGTTTGTTTTTAGGATTTGACCCTCAGCTCACAGGCGGGATAACCCTCACTAATGCAAATGTGCAGTTACAGAACAATCTGGATTATCTCTCACCTTTAAAGACTGAGAGGGCGTAATGAAGTTACACTAGTAAATGCCATGAGTCCCTTAGTAACTATCTTAAAAATGAGCCAAATTAGCAAGAATGTGATGCAATTTTGTGCAAGTACATTATGGAAAAAAAAACCTAAATGAGGTATTCTGTCGTCATACTATCCCATTTTCTATGCATCTGATTGTGAACAATGGACTCCCTGCTGCTCTGCTATCCAACCCGTTCTTTTTCTTTCTTATCGCCGTAAACTCAGCGTGTTTGTTACAAAACCACGCATGTATCCTTTCACAAACTCTCTCGGGGCTAACGTCGATAAAAGCAGAGTGTAATGGAGTGCAACATCATCTTTTGTTTATTATTTCTGGAAGCTGAAGATAATGAGGAGCTTCTGAAACAATATACACTATAAATAACTACCATCCCAAAATGGCCTTGATTGCCTCAAAGAGTATGCTCACTGTGGGAGCTACTTTAAACTGAATTTAGGTTACATGTCTGGATGAAAGCTAAATTTTCATTCTGTGCACACATGAAGAAATACCCATTCATTACCTGAAGACACACATACAGATTCCTCAACTGAGAAACAACAGATAGAACATCTTACTTTGAGGTCATGAAGGCCAAAAACAATGTACTAATTAGGTAGACAGTAAAATGATAATTCAGCACGCAGTGTTGAGCTGTTTAATAAGTAAAATGGAGATCCACTCCCTCTATCTCTCTGATCGCTTTTTGCTTTTATTTTGCTCGGTCAGCAGACTCTCTGTAAATAGCCGGTGGTCATCAGTAATTTTGCTTGTGATGCGCTTAAGAGATGAGTTCCACCGTTTGAACTGTGCGAGTAAGTGAGTGCATATGCTTACTGTCCTTATATCTCATTTGTAGCAGATCTTGTTAGATGTTGTAATTTAATCTACAGGCACATTGGTACTGCAGATCTAAGACGCCGCAGTGATCTGGCTGCGATGTACAGAGTCTCCTTCCAATTCACTTAACACGGTCAGCAAACAAAAGGAGGGAACTTTCCTGCCTACGTTTGAGAATTCTAGTGGTAAAACAATAATCAGACAATAATCTTTTTGTATCTCAAGTTTAACTACGAAAAATATCCATTTTGTTCAGATAACTTAATTACGAATTTAATATGCGCAAACTCCAAACTTTAAAGGCAACATTTGTGAGTTTTAAGTTCAATTTAAAGGCACCCTGTGGTGTTTTCTTTTCCTTGATGTCTAACAAACTTGATTAACTAAAGAAAGAGAATTGGTCGATCAACTTCAATTGGCAACACACAACTTAATTAAGATTTTTCAAACCAATTCAAAGCAGTTGTGTAAATCAGATTTGTTAACTTGATTTGAAAACAATCTTGATTCTTGATTGTGTTACCAATATTTTCTTTAAGTTGGTCTAACATTTTCTTTTTCAGAGACTCACTCGTAAAAACATTTTGCTCCTAGACAAAACTACCTAAAACCTACCTGACCAACAATCTTTTGTTCAGATAACTTTTCTTCAAACTAAATTAAGATGGGCAAAAATCTATATTTCTAAGATTGTCGACTAACAATTGTTGGTTTCTTATAAACATAAAAATTAAGGACTTGAGACTTCAATTGGCAAAGATGTCCATCTTGCCTTGGAATTTGCTTATGAGGACTTGAGACTTCCATCAAGACTTGACACTTTTACCCCAAATAAGATCTGTGCAGCACATGCCTCTGTTAGTCATCACTCTCCCTCTCCTTTGGCTGAAACAGATCAACAGTACAATAGTGATGAGCAGGTTCTCTTTTGGACTTTTAAAACTTATAATTAAGTCAGATGCTCTGAGTATGACCTAGATTATGCTGTACTGTAGTAACTCGCATCGACTTGTAGATGTTATGAACGCATTATTCCTCCCATTATCCTTACGCCTCGGTATCCTTTATTAATATTCATTCTCAAGCTATAAACTAACGCTACCTGCTACCCCTGGCTTCATCACAGTCAGCTCATCAGTTTCTCCCAACAGAGTCACTCACTAAATATTGTCCCAAATCTCATCTGGTCCATCATTCATTTATAACTGCTGCACTGTGTAAAACACACAAATCCTGTACAGATGTCTGACTGTGACAATATATTTTGAGAGTGTACCAAAGGGAAAAGAGGACGATGCGGCTCTGTCGTGTCGTCATTACTTTCTCATTCTCTCTGTCTCTTGCTTCCCTCTCTGTTTTCTCTCTCAGGGCTCTTTATGAAATGCTTTTCCTTGTTTGCCTCCGCTTTCTCGCACTAAGACAGATGACTGAACAAGGGGTCTGGATTTGTGATGGACCAGGATGTGCACACCCATGCACACACACATCAGGATGTCAATGCAATTAGACTACAGAGAGCCAGACTACTGTGCTATGGATGACTGGCTACAACTAAGTGGATAAAAGGCCGATCCATTTGACAGAACTGGGTTAAGAAATATTGTCCTTCCAGTTTCTGCAGTGTGAAGTCTCAGATATGCTGTGAGCAGAGAACAGAGAGGGTTAAACTTTCTTTTTGGCAGGCTCCAGATTTGCTAATCTGTTTTTCTCAGACTTCTTGGAGCTACGGCGTTATGTTCTTTAAATCGTATTCCTGATCGCTTTGGGATCGCTCAGAGGTTAAACTGCATGTGTCTCCCCAGAGCTGCCAGGCAAAGAGGATAAGGAGGCTGACGAGGCTGAGGAAGGTGTGGTTCCTTCAGCAGACGGGGATGGTGATACCAGTTTGGCAGACATTTCCACACCATCCGTTAAGCTGCTAACACCGTCCCTGCCACGAAGCACAGGTGAGCGAACAAATCCCTTAAAATGTAAACAAACACTGTAACTTACTTAAAAATCCCTTCTGTTTCAAGCATGCGTTAGCACTGCCATACTGTTGGGATGACAACTAAACAGACTGCATGCTGTTTCTTTCATAAGCTGCCCCATAGCTGTTTCAGTATCAGTAAATCTGTCAGAGGACTGGGA